CGGCGGCTACGTGGCACAACAGGGTCATGGTGGCTATGGGGCTGAACAAGGCCGCGGCGGCTATGGAGGCGCTCAAGGTCATGATGGCTATAGAGCTGAACAAGGACATGGCGGCCGTGGCGGCTATGGAGACCAGGAGGGGCATGGCGGATATGGAGGCGATCGTGGTGCACATAGTGGTGGACAGGGCCGACACTAGCACTTGCCAGGTCTGCCTTCCTATGGAATTTGTCAGATACGAATAGCGGCTGGGAAAGTGCTCTGAGCGATCAAATGAACCGAAGCACATGGAGATAGATTAGCTCTACTCCTGAATCATTACCTCGAAAGACATCGGCAAATTGCGCTCTACACACTAAGTAATTCGTGATGCAGTTGAAGGACGTCCTGCTTTCTCGCTGGCTCCGAAGAAGGGGCGCACCAGGAAAGTAACGATAGTGCAATTGTATGACCACAGGACGAGCTGTCTCCCTAAAGACTGGGACATACCCATCCAAGAAACACTCACACTGACATTGTCACAGCCTCCTCATTAGCATTCACAACGCTAGCCTTCTAGGCTTCGGTTATTGCGTCTAGATTGGGATAGTACCACATCGTTATAGCGATGATAACATAGACAATCTGTGCCAGCAAATATCAGTCCAACTCGTTCTTTTCGGTTCCGAAATGCTGGTTGACCAATTCGAAAGACTGCCAAGATTTGCAGGAGACTCACCACCAGAAGTGCACCTTCAAGGTAATCAGACTTCCCGTCGCGAAGGAAGTTGCCGACGACCAGAATGGAGAGGATAAGCAGAACAGACATGAAAATCTCGAAGTTGAGGTCCATCGGTTTGCCTAAGCCCCAGCCGACTACGACGACGAGCGGTGCGTTCAGAAGGGCAGTCTGAATCGACGGTCCAAGGCAGTGGTAGAGAGCGAAGTTCTGCCCAAGCACGTTAGGCATTCGCAGTGATGAAGACTCAGATACAATGCTCTTCGAGCTCTTGATTCATGCATAGGCTTAGAAGAATAATCTTTAATGAAGTCAGAAAGAAATGTTGGTGCTCACCATCTGATTGTCGTAGGCTTCATCAACAGTGGTAAGATGCTCCGCTGCTTTCTCAACAAGCGGCACTAGAATCAAGCCGAGGAAGTTTTCCGGAACACCCGTCTGAACAATGTCACGGATCTCCTCGACGAGAAAGATGGCGATCAGAGTGACAAACGTGAGGGAGATCGCAAGAGCGATGACGCATTCGGTGAAGGTGAGTTTGGCTTTGTGTAGATCTCTGTGACGATCTGTGTCCCGTTCTTCATCGGAGGCGAGAACTTCGTGGAAGATGCTCTCCTGACTATGCGCATTGAACCATAGATATACCAAGAAGGCCACGATAAGGATAATAGATGTGACTTGGCTGATCTTCAACGTATTGTTGCGTAGTCGGACCTCTGTGAAGCCTCCACCTTCGGAACTGGTGGTCGAGCCTCTCAGGGCAGAGAAGAAAGCGCTCGGTATTAAGAGGGCAAAGCCCGCCACCAAAAGCAACCCTGAACCCACCTCGCTGATTGCGGCGTGGAATGACTGTTGTTTCAGCTTCAAGCCGCCGATGAAAAAGCAGACGCCTAAGCACAGGAGTATGTTTGTCAAGATGGATCCAAGGATAGCAGCTTGAATTACTGGAACCAGATTTCTTGGTGACGCATTGTTTCCGGTTCCGCTGTCTTTCTTGATGAGGACCATGAATAAGACTATCTCTACCACAGACCCGAGAGCCGTCTCCAGTAGGATACCGGTGACTTTGGGGAGCTTTCTGGCAAGTTGCTGACCCGCAAACCCGACCAAATTGGCAGCAGGCACCATAGCTATGTAGTTGATAGCAAAGATCCATACGTGAAGGTCTGGGCGAGCGAAGTGAATCGCTAGTCCGGCTGGAACGAAGGGCCAGAGAACATTCACGGCAAGAGAAACTTTGCTGGAACTTCGCCACCCGACAGTAAAGAAGTGGAGGGGGTGAAAGCCTATTCACGACAAGTGTCAGCCCGGATGCATGTAGAAAGTTGATGGTGAGCCTCGATAAAATGCAGGCCTCTCACTGCAGGAAAAATACCTCTTCTTCCGCTCTCACCGTCTGGATGAATGCCCTTAGTGACTATGTCGCCATTGTGGTTGTAGACTGGAAGGGTTTTTCGGTTCGAGGGGTCTTCAGCTTGCGGGGGAAGCTTAGGTTCAGGATCAATGCTGCAATTGCTGGCCAAAATGTCCGGGCATGCGTTTTGTGACCGATTGAAGAGATTCATTTCTATAGCCGAAAAAGACGAATATGAGATGGATTGTTGTTCCGTTCTCTGTTCTGGAGATATGAGAAGCTGAACAGTAGCATCTTGCAAAAACGCAGCCGAGGAATGTCTCCTGCCAGCCAAGGAAGCAGGAAGGTGTGCCGAGTTGAGCTCGGCAGGCACGTGAACAGCCAGCGTTCCCTGCGCCCTAGGTATCAACGGTGCTTCCTTCTTGGTCAATTAAAACTATAGGACTGACATGAGACGGACGACAGTCAAGAAGCGTCATCACGACGGAGGTTGTTATGGAGTTCAACTACTGGATAGTACGTTCGCCCGTCCTTCAGTTGATGTTCGGTCTGCCCAAGTCACCTTCTCATGTGCGCATAATCTAGGGTTACAGGCACGGACTTTCCCTGCAGTCATCTACACACCCGACAAGACATGCATCTTCATCCAGACCGCTGATCGGAAGCGGTGTTTCAGAACCGTCTAGGCTTGTCGATATGTGTACCTGGTCGGCATGGTCGTGTTCAGGGTCCAAGCAGAACTCGGGCTGAACAGTAGCACTGTGGATGCCATATTCGTGGAGACACTCCCGAATTGCCTTTACTACTGTCATGTATCTCTCAGCAACCTCACCGCGCTCGATGGAGAAATCGAGCTGAACGTGAAGAGACGCAATTGGCTGGGTCTCGCTCAACTGCCACAAATGGAGGATTCCCGGGATCTTCTGCACATCATTTTTGATATCATTGATATCAAGATGATCCGGTGTGCCTTGTAGCAGTATCTTGGCGCTTGCCGAAGTCAAAGGAATAGTCGTCTTCAAGATGATGACTGCGATGAACAGGGAGACGGCAGGATCAGCATAGAAACGGCCAGACCATGGAGTAAGCCATATGATAAGTGCCGATGCAATCACACCAGCATTGCCAAGACCGTCTCCAATGACGTGCAAGATCATCGCACTGGTGCCCATGTCAGACTCGCTTTTGGTAATCTGTTTTAGCTTGTTGTGATTATGACCGAGATGCGAAGGCTTAGGCGGAGCACCTCTAGTCCCATAGAATGGGTCACGAGTGCGTTTGGGCTTGGAGCTTTTCCCAAGTAGAGGGGCTTCAGAGGGCTCTTCTGCGACATCGTCTTCGAGCTCCTCACTTGCAGTCGCGGTTGCGGCCCTGTTCTTTATCGTTTTACTGAGGTTGACAATCTCTTGTCTGAAGCTTGCAGGATGAACGCTTCCATCCACGATGCGCCAGGTTCCGCTACGACTTTGTCGTCGTAGATTCGAAGCCATGGGTTTCTTCCTCGATGGAAAGTCTCGGATCGGTGAAGGTGTACCTACTAATGTAGGACCTATAGGGTTGTGAGCATGATGGTCAACAGCTCGGGACGGGGTGCTGCGCAGCGTACCTGCGTATTCTGTTCCTGGCACGTCTATACGTTGCACGCCATCACCACCTCCTTCTTCCACGATGCGGACCTCGTCGGCATGGTCGTCCTGCTCTGTTTCACTATGCGAATGCCCTAGAACGAAAAAACCCGCAACATTTGAGGTGAGTTCCAGTGAGCCAACGACAAGGATGAGTATAGGGTTGCTAATCTTGGGCGGGTCGAGAAGACGAGTGATCGCCTCGAGTATGATGGACAGACACAAGGCAATGAGGAATACAGCATTGAAAAAGGCACCGAGAATTTCTGCTCTTTGCCACTAGATACAGAGATCAGCACAGACCGGCAATGTTCACGGAGTACCCCTCAGTATTACCCCAAATGAAGATTTGTCAGAGCGTTGGTCTCTTAGCAGCTTTCACAGCCCACAAGCCAACAAGGAGGGAGATGATATCGTTGAGCTAAGCCTCTGTCAGTAAGACATAGCTTCTCGGCACGACAGCGACACCGCATCTCACCATATGAAAAGCATCCGCCATGAGAGCGAGAGAGCCCACGATCATTCCAACACCCACTTCCAAGAAGAAGAAGGCGGTGTCAATGGCCAGCATGACGGTAATTCGAGTCGATTTCGACCACGCCATTGTTTGGTGGGCCTTGATGGCGAGGTCCTGTTGATGAGGCAGACCAGCTCAGAAAGGACGCCAATCCTAACAGTGTCTGATAGGCAATTGCAAGAATTGAGTTTCGGGGGATTGTTACCGAAGAATTTGGGAGGGAAAGGAGACAGATGCAGCGCCGAGCCACAACATATTTCATCACTTCCTTGGCGGAGTGCCTGATGCCACGCTAACCAATCCGACCTGCCCCTGACTAAGGACGGCGGTGGTTCATCATTGGCTACTGTGGAAAGTACCTGGTGGCAAAATTCAAATTAGCATCGGCGCCCAGCTTGAGAAGGTGAGAAGATTTCGTGCACAAAAATCGGTGTGGACAATATCATTGTTCTCCCATTCACATCTACTCATACCATTATCATTCGAGAAGAGACCACGATCTCCTAGTAGGCTCCAACGCGATACTGTTGTTGAAAATGGCTTTCCACAAGCTCACTCGATCTCAACGTCTGATGGCCATTATTGTCATCTCATTCAGCTTCTTTGTCGCAGAACTCTCGAGTAGGCGCTCCTGCAAACATCGCGAGAGATTCGTAACATCAAATAACCATGTGCTCTACGAACAGTTGGATTCAAGACCCGCTCGCTTGCTCTTGTGGCCGATGCCTTCCATTATGTTTGATACAATCACGCGGACGCTCGCCTCTAAAAATTGGCTGACTTCTTGACAGATGAACGATTTGATTGGATTCATAGTCGCACTTGTGGCGGTTAAGGTATACCTCCCATCCTCGGGCACTGCTTCCGAACCGCTGAGAAAGTGTAACCCAGGTTTCCGAACAGCCTCAGACCCCCCGCAACCTTGCGTTCGGCTGGCAGCGCTCGCAGCTGCTGGGCGCCTTCTTCAATGGCGTTTTCCTCTTAGCGCTTGGCGTCAGTATCTTGCTTCAGTCCATTGAGCGATTCGTCGCACTACAACGTTCGTCTCAGGCTCTCCGGCGACACTCTGGCGACAAAATCAGGCTTACTTTCTTTTCTAGATGTCGAAAATCCCAAGCTGGTTCTCATCGTCGGATGCATCGGTCTAACACTGAACATCATCAGCGCCTCGTTCTTACACGGTATGCTCGACGTCCTCCATCGACTACGAAATCACTGACCTGTTCCAGAGCATGAGCATGAGCCACCAGCGACAGGAGCCTTCGAAGATGATAACAGGAATGCTGTTAGAAGAGTAAGAAATGCCTCGATTTACTCAGCTCATGTTGCTATTCTAATCTTTTGCAGCTTTCTGGAACTCACGTCGGACACCGTCACCCGAGCATCAGCAGGCCGAAGAAAAATGACCACGACCTCGGAGTCCTTGGAGTTCTCATCCACGTGATTGGAGATGCCATCAACAACGTTGGTGTCATCATATCTGCCTTGGTAATCTGGCTCGCAAAGTACCCAGGGAGATTTTATGCAGATCCAGGAGTCAGCACTGGTATCGCATTTATGATCCTGGCCTCCGCCGTCCCTCTCGGTAAATGCAAACCAAATTTCCGCGAAACATAGCTAACACATATTCGGCAGTCAAGAACAGTGGATCGATTCTATTAGAGAGTGTTCCGCTTGGTGTCAATTTGGAGGACATCCGACACGACCTAGAATCGGTATGGAGATGAATCGAGGCTTTTCTAACCAGTACTGACTTCATTCTAAGATTCCTGGCGTTGCCTCTGTCCACGAGTTACACGCATGGCGTCTCAATCAGAGCAAAGCCATTGCTTCAGCGCACATCGTAACAAATGACTCCTCCTTGTCGCATTTTATGGCGCAGGCGGAACGCATTGGCGAATGTCTTCATGCCTATGGCATCCACTCCGTCACACTCCAGCCCGAACTCGTGGATGGGACGGGCGGTGACCGGGTACCTGTAGCGCAGAACGAGACTCCAGGTCTGCGTGCTCGACGGGGCGCCGATGCAGTATGTCGCATTGCTTGCGGGACTGGTTGTGAGCCTTTAATGTGCTGCAACTGATACAGTACGAACTCAGGGGGCCGAAGCCCGCACAAACTTCTACAGGGTGTCAGTGGTTCAGAAACGATGCACTGCCTCAAGAACATTGAGACGCGCTTGACTTGTCAACAGTGGAAGAGGTGAAGGGCCTAAGGTATCGAGGGCCCTAATATACATGAATCACTGGGGCCGTCCTGTTCAACGGCATCCAACACTCATTTCCATTCGACAGGCCTCCGATACATCCCAATTCTCCCCAGACAACTTTACTCGCCCCACCGCTCACGAACACCCATCAGTCCAACACCGCCTCTACCTCATCTCTTCCAGGCTCAAGACCAAGCTACGCCGACCATCACCCTCCGAAATCGTCGGTCCCGGCGGTCGTCTAACACCTTGGACGGCCGTCCAATCCCTCTTTGGCTGGCGTCCTCAACCAGCATATCAACCCGCCCCCTTCCACATCCACAACAACCCCTACCGGGCTCGAGAGCAGTGGCCCCCTGATTTCACCACACTACATTCCAAATAGAAGTGCCTCTACGAGAAGACACACCGAAGGCGGGCGAAGTTGGAGTACGCGAGACCGGGCTGGAATAAGGGTGTTAAATTGGAGCAGCACACATTGATTGTTTTCACGCTGATCTCTTTCATTTTCGTTTGTGAGCCGTCGCATGATGAGGGGACACCGTTTGATGGGTTCCGCGTTTGGCTCTGCGGCAAATTGAAGAATTTGGGCCAATTGCCGGATGCAACGAGAGAAGTAGCGGAGAGATTGGGTGAAGGTGCGAAGAAAAGGGTCGAGGAATCTCCAGCTGCAACTACTACTTAATCTACCTTGACTCCCCCGGGTGGTGACTACTATCTGTCTGCTACATATACGTTGGGTAACCGACCAGCCTCGCTATCCAGTCTAAAAGACCCAATCATCGTTGATCGAAAGTTCATCCGATCACACTTTACCTAGACCAACCAACACCAACAGTGCCACGTTCATCACCACCAGGACAAGCCAGATGGCTAATGTCTGTGTGGCTCACGGTATAAATTCTCCAATCTCTGTTCCTGGTTACCGCTACAGGGCGAGCCTTGGAATGACACTTTACTGATGCGCATTGTCCCAGCATTTGATGGCCACATTAACCTACCGAATGGTGAAAAAGTCTTCGATGTAGTGACAGGATCGGACTGGCAGACCAGGGGCCCATCTGACGTGATGGGCATTAATGCTCGAGTCTCCGCCGTCTCGGAAGATGGAAAGGAGAACCTAGATCTTGAGTACTACGGGAAGATCAAGATTACGCAGCAGATTGAGAATGTGATCGCAGCGAGAGGTGAAACTGGTGCAGGCACCGAATGGGGGGGCGGCTACTATTTTATCACGCCCAGGATTCACAGCAGGAGTGAGAGGTGGGCTTGGGTCAACGATGCGGTATTTCTCGCATGTGGCAAGCTAACATTGTCCCGGAAGGATGATGGCTCAAGTGTCTCCACTGTTTCGTACAGAATCTACAAGGTGGAATAATATAGGTGCCCACCTAAAAGTCAACATGGAAATGAACATGGGAATCAACATGGAAATGAACATGGAATTCATACTCTAAATCTTGAACATGTTGATGCTCAGTGTCGTTTTCGCTGAGACTGATCAAAGCCTCCGACGCTGCCAGAAGCGGTGTGAAACTTTATCACTCCGATTGAAAATGGTTTAGGCCGATCTGGAGTTTGCGCAACCGAAAGGGCACAAAGTTTGGCCGACGGAGCGAATACCCATGGCATGTCTTGCTCAACGGCACGAGAGGCCGGTTCGTGTCACGAAATTCTTGTGAGGCATATGGCGGAAACGGAGGATGAGGGTTCCTGTCTTTACTAGGGCTAAGAACCGCAAGAAACCGATCTCAAGCTGATGGACTTGTGACTACTCTCATCTGAACTTGCTTTCGCCTGACGCTAGTGTACCACTTTTCCGTATCATCCATTGCAACTTTGGCCCTCCACCTAACCACGAGTTCGCCCAACAATCACCTGTCAAAGAGGTTATCGATTCAGGCTATCAACATGACAGCGTCAAAGTCCTCCATGGGCCAAGATCCACCGGCCACAGAAACAGGAAATCTTCCAGAAGCAGAGATATTGCCAGAGAACTGTGTCCTTGTTATAGGAGGGGGACCGTCGGGCTATGTCTTGCGATGACTCTAACATATTACGGCGTCAAATCAGTAATACTGGAAAGAAACGAGACAACCACAAGGTAAACACTCGCCTCAGGTGTTGAGAGGAAGACTGAAGCCAACATTGATATACTAGGTGGCCAAAAATGGATCTTACCAATGTGCGGTCGATGGAAATCTTCCGAAAGTTAGGTCTTGTACAAGGCCTGCGCGAGCAAGGTCTGTTGACTCCTATCTCCGCCATTCATCCCTGAAGCTAACACCGCTTGTACAAGGCGTGGCCGCCCACATTCCCTACAATGTTCGCATTTCGACCGGACTCAGCCGCCCGGAATCAATCACGAATTGGTTCCACCCTAGCGTAAACGAGTACCGCATTCGAATTGCTGATAAAAATGACGGAACCATGCCGCTTGAACCTTGGCAACGCATTTCACAAGCAATCTTCGAGCAATGGCTGAAAGGCCGTTGTGACGAGAGCCCTCTGATCGATGCCCGGTTCAACCACCGGGTGGAAGATCTGCAAGAGGTCGAAAATGGCGCACGGGTTACTGTGACAGATCAAAAGACAGGGCTGAAAAAGATCATTCTATCACATTATGCCGTTGGCTGTGATGGCGGCTCGAGTATGGTACGCCGGTCACTGGGAATTCCTCTGCACGGAGGCCCAATGTGAGTAGCGGATCTTTGATCCTTTTCACAGTACAGTATCCCTGACCGAGCTTCTTCACAGTCCCGCATATGTGCTCCTTGTCCATTTCAAGTCAAGAGACTTATCACGGCTCCATGCACAAGGTCGCTTTTGGCACTTATTCTTCGTCGGAAATGAAGGACTCACTGGGGCGGCGATTGCTCAGAACGAAGTCGACACGTGGACCACTCACCTTTTCTTGCCTCTTGAGAAGGATTCAGACTCCATTAGCTCTCAAGAGGCTGTCGAGACTTCCCTTGGAGGATTGCACGGGAGGTATCCAGTGAAAATTGACAGGGTTTTGGTCAGATCGACGTACAGACCTCGTATCGCGATTGCTCAGAGTTATTCTTCTTCTAATGGTCGCATTCTCCTCGCCGGAGATGCAGCTCATCAGAACATCCCCACTGGCGGCTACGGTAAGTCTTTACACCTTTGATTCACATAAAGTACAACTAGGCTAACAAGTTCAGGGTATGAACATGGGAATCGCCGACGCCTTCCACCTGCGATAGAAGCTAGCCGCCGTAATTGCCGGCTTTGCAGAGCCACAGCTGATGGATTCTTACGAAAGTGAACGTCGACCAGTCGCTGTGGATAGTATTGAGCACTCAGGCGTTCACATGAAAGTGCACATGGACGTCGCCCAGATTCTTCAGGGCCGGGCGGGAGCACTAGATGAGGACTCTGAGGAGGGGCGAAAGCTCAGACGTGCGCTTCATGAGCACTATCAGAAGCACAACGGCGAGAACATCGATCTAGGGATCGAGATGGGATATCGGTACCAGTCTCATGCCATTTTTACAGAAGACTCGCAGCCTCCGAAGTTTTCCCCGTCAGCGTATATCCCCAGCACTTATCCCGGCAGTCGAGCGCCTCATATGTACCTGGGAGATGGAACACCCATTTTTGACCACTACGGCAAGTATTTCTCGCTTGTCGAGTTCTCTGACGGTGCAGACTACGGATCGGATCTCCTTTTGAAGGCCGCTGAGCTTGGCTGGACGCCGATTAAGCTTGTGAGACTCGCCGGTGAAGATCATGCCTACAGCGTCTGGGGACGACGACTTGTCTTGGTACGACCCGATGGACATGTTACATGGCGAGGGGACATGATCAAAGATTTCGCCGAGGCTCAGAGAATTGTGGCAGCTATAAGGGGAGTAAAAGAAGTGGTCATCAACGCCCCTGAGACGGCGGCACCACCGTACCAGAACGGTGTAAACTCATATTCCACGACCCCCGTGGAGTCGGCAGTCCCTCCTAAGTTCACGTCCACCGTGGGCACCGACGCCCAGACAGAGGACTACCAGGTAGAGCGAATGGGGGATTCCAGGTTTAATGCGAAGGGCAGGCCATGGGGAGCACCATATTGCTACCGGCATGGTGGGATGAAGCAGCAGTGAGGTACAAATTTCTTATATGTCGGAAGGCTACATAGCGATACAGGGCACAAATGTCAAGATTTGCCGCAAACATTCTTGAAGTCAAGATCATTGAGCTGTCATGTCCCGCTACGGACGTAATTTGGCAAAGTGTGTTTGGTCTGGAGCACCGCCCACTACCGAGCTCTCCTATCCTTTATGTTCGGCATCGCCAATGCCCATGACCAAATGCGCGAAAAACAGTATGACAGAAGCTACGTTTTGCCGACATCTTGTTGCGGGAAGATCAGACATAGGGTGGGTCATGACGGCCTATCCACGGCATTGCCGGATTTTCAGGTCGTAGGACGAAACTCCGGGGCGAAGCTCCGCTTCACGACCTATTTATATGGACATAGTTCTTTCACTGTTTACAGTACGCGCCGTATTCTCCAGTCGGTATTGCTGCCTAGGAATGGATTGGCTCTCGAAGTTCGATAACAGTATCCTTCCAATTACGTCCCGGGTTGTCTGGCTGACACAGAATAGTCTTTACGCGTAAAGGGTTCCCATTATCCCGGAGCCTCACTCTGAATCCGGCGAGTGAGTCCCACGATGGAAACTTCTCAATAAATGAAAGTGTCAGTCGACAGAGAGTAAATGTATCTGCGACTCTATATCATGAATTTATGCTTCTCCCAGCTCCTGATTGTTCAAGCTTTAGCACCGAGGAGAACGTCAGTTGAGCACTCAGGTGCTACAGATAGAGTTATTCTCCACAGCAGACAGATGGACTTGACTGGACTTTGTTGATGAACAGCGCCTTTTTCCCCTGGTTGTAGATCCGTTGGCTCAATCACAACTATGGTAGAGCTCTTGTAGCGTTTTCCTCAGATCATGTAGGCCATTTTCTTTTGCCAGCTTGATGAGATTCTCGTATACTTGGTTTTCTTGCTCATCTGTCATCTCCTCGTTGTCTCCATAGTAATTATGCAGCTTCTGCCTTCCTTCTTCGAGCTTGTCTCGATGAGAAGCCTATCGAAGCCAGGTTAGGGGAACCAGTATTATGATTTTCATCGGTGGAGGCCGTACCGCTCGGAGATCATCACTTGTGTTGTTGAACACCTCACAGATGGAACAAGAACACGACATTGGTATCGAATTAGCTTTGTGCGGAAGGTATTTGTGAAGATGAGTGAAAGGCAATCGAGCTGAAAGCCAGGAACTAGAGCAGGGAACGGGAATGTCCTGCCTGCTGCAACAAGTTACCAAGATTTTGATTTCCTTCACGATGCATTCGCTTGCCGTAGCTTGAGGAATCATTGAATAAGTAGCTATGGCTTGAAAGCATTAACCTATTCCTTTTATCCTCTCGCGATTTTCTTCATGGATGATTTCTTGCTAGCCCCGCACGCTCTGGCTGATCCTACTGGCGGGATTGGGATAATTTTACGCTGACCGGAAGACGCCATGACAGGACAAGACTGGCGTGACATCCATAATCATGCATCATATCAGTGCTGGTTCCGATGAGTTGGCTAACCGGTGAAGAAATCGAATGAATGAATCATAGGATAGAAAGCTGGCTATGGAGCGAATAGTCATGGTGCATGACGACAGACTTTGCGGGACTGTGGTAAATTGTGGAAAACTGATCACACTCTTGCCGGACCAGCTGGCATGCTTCCAATGATTCACTCACACGTAGCGACTCCGTGACCCCCGCCCTCCGAGGTGCGAAAAGTGCATGATGAAGTCTGTCTAATCTCAGCCACATCCCAGGTAGAAGACGAATTCGTCCAATAGACTCATCTGAGAATCCATAACAGCATGGTCCAGTCAGCATCCTTTGAACCTAGACGCAGCAAAGCTCGACATGTGCTCAATACGGAGGGGGTCGTTTTCATTGCGCGGGAGTGCAGCCGAGAAATAAGCAGCCATAGAGCGCGAATGTTCAGAGATAGTGACTACGACGACTACACAACCCGAGAAGGCGAAGCAACTGCTCTGCACTGAATTGTGACTGGGAAGCGCACGACGTGAGAGGATTTTTTTGACCCATGCATGAGCATGAGCGGAATGAAGGGCTACGCGAACAGAGTGGGCCACTCTTCGAGAGCAGGCTGAGCTGCTCGTGATGGGTATGATTGCAGGCGGGAAAGCGGCTGCCAAACCCCTCTACAATACGGAGTACGGAGTACTATACCGAGTAACGGGTACGGAGTACTGTATGTGGATTGGACTGAAAGTGAACGATTTCTCCAGGACCCGAGCGGGCGTTGTGATGACCATGACTGCTTCGTGCTTTTTTCGTAGCGGGCATCATCATATCAATTAATCACAGTCTTCGACGGCGAAAGATAACAAGCTCTGGGCAGAAACTGCTTCGAAAGAAAAATATGAGATCAACAAGAGTCACAAAGTACAAAGTGCGGAGTATATAGTATTGCAAGTCATGCTTGGATGTATCAGTTCGTCATATTATCAACGTCGTCAATCAAACCCCGTCAATCAAACCCCGTCAATCAAACCCCGTCAATCAAACCCCGTCATCAGGGTGGTCGCGTATCTGTGTACACAGTATGCGCAAATCTCATGAGACATACGAAGTCCAGGGATGCAGAACAGTCACGAACACGAACAGGGCCCTCAATACACCGTCCCGCAGCAGACGATAACTGCTCAAACAAGCGCCAGTAGTAACCACAACCTGTCTCATTTTGCATCACTAACAATTCAACGCAGTCATCAATCATGAAACTTCGGCAGCGACCTGATCGTACCATTTGCCATGAGCTTTAAGATCGACGGAGCGAATCCTGTCAAGCGCATCGATGAGAAGATTGACCTCTTCCAAAAACTCTGGCATGCCCGCTCTGGCAAGTACTTCCGCAGCACTTGTGGTGGTTCGAACTCGCTCCGCAGTCCCGATGGCAGACAGCCTCGCGAAAACGTGTTCGCGCAGTGATTTTAGCAAGAAGCTGGCGATCTGTTCCGTGAAAACGTCTCCAGCAATCGTCGGCTCGTCTTCCGAAGGATGATAGTCAGACTGGCTATGAACGGCATCTTGGCGATCTCGCTCAGCGGTATCTGCATTCTTGGCCGTAGCAATAGCAGGAGGCAGGACTCGACCCACAAAGTTGGGCAAACCCTCCTTGATGGTCTCTGGCATTATGTGAGATGACTCGATTAATGAGATGACGCGGGAAACATCGGTACTGAGAAGGTCTAACGACATCAACCGTTCTGCGTCTTTGGCCCACAGTGACTCTCGGTTGCGCCTTAGTCGGATTCGTGGTGAGAAGAACGGATGATGTAGCTATCATGTGAAAAGCACGAGCTCTCCATTTCAGCAACCGGATGTAATCGAGCTGTAGGGTCTCTGGCAGGTCGCGATGGCAAAGGTGAGTTTTGCGCAGAACCAAATCAGTCAACCCTCTGGCATACACCACACTGCCACTTATGTTCGCAGAGACGCTGGCTTTAGAGCTTGACCACCAATGTTTCGTCCGCTCGAGCGTATGGACGCCATCTCGAAGATCTTTCTCAAATGAAGC